TAAACACAACCTTTGATGTTGCATATCAGCATACGCTTTTATAATTCTATACAACTGCTCCTACTAGGAGTACATACTTCTGTTTTAACGATTCCCTAATTGGCTTAAATATGATATACGAATCACAGTCTGATACATAATGCTAAACCACAGAGTTAAGATATCACCGTTGGGGAAGATAATCTTCTCGAATCAAATCAAGAACTATAAGAAAGAGAAACTTAATGATTATCTCATTGGATAAGTTACAAATAGAGAGAATAGACCAGCTTTTAATATCAATGTTTCATTCACGTATGTATTGATAGTATTAGGGGTATTCAATTATGAAAATAAAATTAAATCAAAAATTAAATAAAAAACAAAGGTCCAATAAGATTTTAATTTTAAGACGTTGCAAAAACGTCCTGCTAAAATTTCTATAAAAATAAAAATTCATGGACTTTCTATTAGCTTATATTAATTTTATTTTTTTATTTTATTTTATTTTATTTTATTTTATTTATTGGATGACTTCCAAAACTGTTAATTCATCAAAATTAAACGGACTTAAAAATATTTTTTACGATGTGTAACCAAAAATTAACCTTAATTTTAAGACATTTTCTACTGCTTAAATGGAGAAAAGTTAATTGACACCCCCCCACCCCCCATAATTAACTTGAAAATTAATGTTACAATGCGGATTTTCAATATGTAATAATTGACTTCAACACTAAAAACTTTACTCAGACAATTTATATTTTTCATGCTAACTTTTAGCATTGTACTTCTCTAACTTGAATCCTTACCTTTTTATATTTAAAACCTTTTGACAAATTAATTCTTATTATCATTTATCCGAAATCAAGGGTATCGTTACCGATCCTTTGATTTCTCAAAAACTATATAAACCTTAAAACAAAACATATTTCAATAAACATTCAGATTTTACTATATACTTTTATCATAAACTTGCCTATCAAATATTATATCTTCTATATATAATTGGCCCATTATCTTACTGTCTCCCTAGAAAAACCGAAGCCTTAGTCTCTTTTTCTCTGTATCTGTCTATTAAGACTTTTTATTTTATTTTACTTAACTGGATCGTTACCATATATATTTATTATATATTTATATAAAATAACGTGGTGCTCACTTAGAACTGAATAATTACTACAAACGTATATTATTCTCCTTCTACCTTACTGTCAAACTAAATCTAAACCAATCACTACCACTCACATTGTATCAAGTGGTGCTCACTAACAGGGTTTCTCTTATTTCTATTACTCTTATTGGTAAATCTCTTATTTCTGCTGCTCTTATTAAAATCAAATTTTAATACCATGGCCTCTACCTCTGCTTCTCTCGAACAAACTGTGTTGGACAATCACCCCATGCCTACTAACTGGTCTGCTAATAAGCCTAAAATTATTGAATTTTATGGTTTCGAAGGTGAAGACTTTCGTTACTTCCGTTCTGTACTAGAAACATTTTTCTCTCTTACTGGTATTACCCAAGACCTTCGACGTGTTAATGTCTTACGTACCCAACTCCGTCGCTCTGCTGGTGTTTTCTTTGACAAGTACTTGGAAAAGCATGATCTTACTGTTGGTAAGATATCCTACAAAGAAGCCATCCAAATATTGCAAGAACATTATATCACGGAACAAATTATTCAAAACTATGAATTGGCGTTTAATGAAATGCAACAATCTCCTGGTGAATCTCCCCAAGTTTTTCTTTCGCGACTATATGAAGCTGCTGATCTCGCGGATATTCAAGAAGAAAAATTAATACACTCTCGTTTCCGTGCTGGTTTGCTCCCGGCGCTCAAGACTTTCTGTCGCGAACAATCCGCAAGTTCTTTTGACCAATGGGTTAAACACGCTGATGGTTGGTGGAATGCCCATGCTCCTACTTCGATAAACTTGGTCGAAAATCCTTTTGTCTCCACGCCCAATTATTCTTATTCTACTACTGGTATTCCTCAAAGTAACAAGTCTGAAAATGAAAAATCTGTAAGGTTTCTAAATGATAGGGTTAGTACTTTGAAAAATATTGATGGCAAAACACATAAATCAAACACAAAGGCGTATGCTAGTGAAGAGTCACCTACTATGACAGCTTTGACTGCCAAGTTGGAGGCACTTGATCTTCATCAGTTGATACCTTTGATTGATTCAAATGAAACTACCCATGAAAATATTAAACAAAGTATGACCGAATCATGGAAAACCGATAAAGGTTTGAAAACTTTTATCAAGAACATCGTACAAGAAGTGGTGGAAAACGATGTAAAAGAAGACGCTTATAACAATTACTCTGACAATAAAAGATATCATTCAAAAAAACCTTATAGAAGAAATTCTTATCAAAAGGACGATTATTATTTTGACAATGATGCTGCTAGTCCTGCTGAAGGTTACTACCTTTCTCGTCGCCAATATGAACAACAACAACAAGATAACCGGCCTCGCAATAATTATAATAATGGGTATAATTACAATCGTAATTCGTATAATCAATCAGGAAGACAACCTTCTTACAATAGCTCGGGTTCGTATAATTATAACGACAACGCTCATCAAAGTCAATCTACGGGAAAATATAATTCTCAACCTTATAATGGATACCAAAATTCACATGGTCCTTCTTCGAATCAAAACGCTTATTCTCATAATAATAACAGTAATCCTCAATCTTACCGTAACAAGGATAACTCACGACAAAATAACAATTACCAAAATGGACCCCAACCGTCAAAAAACTAAATGAGACAGTTGCTATGCCCAGTCATAGAAATGGTCAATTGTCTGAACAACCTTTTTATCAAAAATCCAATCAACCCAATAACCAACAATTAAATCTTCTTAACAATGATTTGTATGCCGCAAGACTTAGCGCTCCCCCTAAAGTTAATACGGAACCTTTATCTAAACTCACTGAAGACCCAAAATCAAACAAAAAAATTACAAAATCATCTGAAAAAGCCCCACAAAAAAGAACATATAACAAGAAAACTCCTCAAAAAATAATTTAGAACCAATGGACACCGATGCTTATAATGCTCCAGGACCATCCACTTTACTCACTCAACCATATCAGCCCATCGCTCCTAAAGCTCCTACTTTGACAAATACAGCAATAAATCTTCCCACTAGAGAAAATATTATATATGATATAGATAATGATGGAAACATTGTTAATAATATTAAAAATAATACTACTAAAGCTAGAAGAAAAATTACTCCATTGTCTGAAAGAATATCGTATGATATTACGGAAGATGTACTTAACCGAAAAGCTGATATAAATGTAAAAGATCTCTTAATCGCTGCTCCCAGTCTAAAAAGGATTTAGTCAAGTCTGTCCGCGAAAAGACCAAGAAGACAAGACCTCTCCCGTTGACCCTTGCATTTGCTGAAGATGATGATGTTGATACCACTGCGATATATACGGAAGTGTATATTGGACAGTTTAAAATTAAAGCAATTTTAGATACCGGTAGTGCTAAAACTGTTATGTCGAAAAAATTAGCAGATATTCTCGAACTAAATATTGACACTCCATCAAATTCTGTGTTCACTCTCGGAAACGGAGCGAGACAAGCTGCTCTCGGTTTAATCTACGACGTACCTATTAATTTAGGAGGTAAATTAATTGTCCCTGGATCCATAGAAGTCTTACCTGTGTGCCCGACCCAACTCATAATTGGAAACAACTGGTTAAAACGTGCTAAGGCTAAACTGAACTTAGAAGAAAGAGTAGTTAAAATCGAGTATAAGGGTGATAAAGTAAACGTACCTTTCGTATTTACTAAAGACCATGACAACATCACAAATCTAAAATTTCGTACCACCAAATATTCGTACGCCAATCAAGAAGGAACTGTACCCGATGCATCTATTAATATAGTTAATCCAACTAAAGGAACCGGTGAAAGCGATGATAGCGAGTCTAATATCAGTGATAGCTCTGATGAATCAGATGAATTAATACCTGAATCATCGGATGAAGAATCTGTAGCCGATTTATATATACTTGAAGACACCTATGGCGAAACCTCAAACCGAACAAAGCACGATATTATTTATATGGAAAATAATCCTGACGTCTCTGATAATTATTTAATAAAATTACACTCTGCCATCTATCTAGCTCCATATTCTAAAACAAGTTTTACCATTAAACCTATGAATCTATCTATATCTCAGATGGAAGAAACTAAATTTATGCTATTTATCACCAATGAAAAACTCCATGACAGAGATTCCACCTGGCAACCCGCATCTTCTTACTTAAAACAATATCATGATGTTATCACTATTTACTTAATAAACAATTCGGATTCTACAATTGAATTGTCAGCCCAAGAAACACTAGGTGAACTGGATGTATTGAGTGTCGAAGACATTGAAGAAATGAACTGTTACAAGGTGCGAAAACATGCTAAAGAAGAAGATTTGTTTCATCTCGAAGAGGTACATAACCCTCCGCAAAGTACTATCATAGAATATGAAGAAAAACTATCAAGTAAGATAGATCTTACCAACATACCTGCAACAATCAAGAAATCCTATATTAAAATGATGTATCAATTTGATCACATATTTGACTGGGAAAATGACAAAATTGGAAACATTGATATCATGGAACACACGATAAAATTGAAAACTGATGCCGTACCAAAACGAGTAAGACCATATCGCCTATCACCATTGGAAACCGAAAGTTTAAAGAAGGAATTAGACAAGCTACTTAATTTGGGTATAATAGAAAAGGGAGGTTATTCTGATTGGGCAAGTCCAATCATCATGCTAAAGAAGAAAGATGGTACATATCGTATTGTTGCTGATTTCCGGTATCTGAATACCCAAAGTGAAGTGATGAATTATCCCTTAAGCAACATAGATGAGTTGCTAGATAGCCTCAATAAAGCATATTGGATGTCCACTTTTGATTTGCGTTCGGGCTTTTTCCAAGCCAACATTAGTAAAGAATCGCAACCGTTGACCACTGTCGTTTGCTCCTTGGGAGACTTCTATTTTAAAAAATTACCCATGGGAATAAAAACAAGTCCAAGTGTGTTTTCCCAAATGATGGAGCAATGCTTCCACGAACTTATAAATGATTGTATCATTATCTACCTGGATGACGTGACCTGTTTCACCAATGTTGAAGACCCGGAAAGGCATTTGAACGATTTACGAAAAACGTTCACGTGTATGGATATGCACGGTATCGTTCTGAACCCCACAAAATGCAACTTCTATCAAGAACGAATCCTTTTCCTAGG